GCACAGTTCTACACACAAACAGCACATAATATTTATATTACGTAATAAAGGAATGCACTATAGCACAAAATATTTTGGGCGGCAGAAACATGGGAAATATGACACAAGAACTAAATATAATACTGGAACAACACAAATCACAAAAAATCACCCAGAAAATGCCACTTGAAAGAATCTCTGAGGATAAAATTAGTCACAACGGACCCTCCTAGGAAAAAGATTACAGTAATCACAGAGGAACTCCAGGGTAGAGCTCACAGAGAATCTATTACAAAAGGAACAATATTAATTTTGCTGTCACGTTTTGATTAATTGGTGTTTCTAATAAATTATCATGTATTCTTAATCATATTATGTTTTAATCAATCATAAATGGCCATCTGGATACACAAAAAAAACCTTTTTGACCTTTCTTGATCAGTCACTCATTGGAAATAAAATTGTATATTCCAGGAGACCTTTGACATTTCACCAAATAAAAGGAAATTTAACCAGGGTAAGTACATCTAGAGTAAAAAAAAAAGTCCCAAAGTTCAACGAGTAGAATGTCAGATATTGGTAAACTATGGTCTAACTTATTTCGTTTAAACGGTGTTTGAAAATATAGAAAGTACTGATTTGATGATTGAAATAAAAACTAGAGTAATAGTATAATTTATTTATTGATATATCTAGGGTAGATATAAAAGATTAGATAGATTTCAAGAAGATATGTTTCAAGTATTTGATAGAGCTAGAAGATTGAGTCGTACAGATTCACAGGTATTTATATTTGTTTGATTTTTATACGCCCACACGGTCTGTCTGTTTTTTTGATGACTATTGATTTAAAAAAAAAGTCACTAAAGACTGTTCTTATTTCAGACAGCTTTAATCAAACATCAAAACTTGCTCTCTAAAGTATGGTGACCATGATATGATGTGTTAAATAGTATTTTATTTAAATCTCCCCAAAAATACATTTATCCTTATAAAAGTTAATCTTCACTATAATGCAAGAAAAAATTCTTTGATAATTTGTTTTGGTTTATTTGATAGATTGAAATGAAATGAAATGAATGGAGTTTTACGTCCTACTTTTCTTTGATAGATTGACTAGACTTTATGAATTATAGCTTTATGAAGATGCTGTAGAAATGCAGATGTTATTTATGAAGACTCGAGATGAACTATGTAAAAATGGTGAAATGGTTTTAACACCTGCTCTCAGTTTTATGGAACGCCATCTACAGTTACAAGTAGAAGCTGAGAAAAAAGCTAAAATTCCTCATGAACAGAAAGAAGATGAAGAAAAGAAAAAAACACAAGAAATTGAAGACAAAGATGATGATAAGGTATAACAAAAAATAAATAAATCTATAATATAAATAAATCTATAATATAATAAAG